CCGCTTGAACTCGGCTAGTCGGGATTTGGTTAGACCGTTGGTGATGGTCCCACCGGTTGCTTTACCGGACTTTTCGCTATTGGAGGGTAGTTCTTAGCAAAGTCCTTCTCTTCTCGGGTAATCAAGACATGTACCTCACTATCAGAACCAGTCAGGGTATCTATCTCCACTTTGTCATCGTCTTGGATTATCGAAATGATGTTACAGAGCTTAGGCTTACCTTTGGGATTCTTGGAAGCTTATTTCTTGTCATTGAGGAGATCTGGATGAACCCACATCACCTGTCCTGACGGCGTCTGCGGTACTAAGACTTTCTCTCATTGATTGTGAGGATTGACATTAACAATCTTTATCTCTGCCTTGGGGATGAGTACTACCCCTACTGTTGCATGGACTTCAGGAAGATCTATCCTAAATTTTAAAGTGACCATGTTTGTGGTCACCTTCTTCTGCACATTCTCCTTCTTTAGGACTCCCGTGTCGTAAAGAGCTTGAAGCTTGTCCTTAAGGACATAGCACTTGGAAGTATGATGACCGACAAATCTATGAAATGCACTGTAGTTTGGGTCGTCTATTTTGCTTACATCTTCAGGCTTCGTGATCTCTAGAAGCTTGATTATTTTGCTCTAAAGGAGAGTGTCGAAGGTAGGCACTACCCAATCTTCCTTGAAGTTGTAGTACCTTAGAGGTCGCTACTCGAAAGACTTGGTCTTCTGGTGCTACGCCGTCTTAGGGACTCCTTTTGATCAAGGGTTTCGAGAGGTGTTTGGTTCTGAAGCTCCTCTCTTGGGTTGAGACTCTTCGGCTTTCGGTCGTTTGATCATGTTTTCCACTTGCTCACCCTGGCAAACAAGCTCTTTCCAGGTCCAGGTTTCCACCACGCTGATCCTAGATAGAATGTTGATCGAGAGGTTGTTGTAACACATCTCAATCAAGGTTCTTGAAGAGACTTGGTCCCGACATTATAGTGATTGATTCCTGAATCTCTTGACGAAGTCGTTGACCGACTCCACCTTCTTTTACTTGTCATCAAGCAGGGTGGCCATCGACAATTTCGTGTCATCATCGAAGAAACGAGCCAAGAAGAGTTTCTCCACATTGACACATGTTGTGATAGAGCCCGGTTCCAGCTTACAAAACCATTCAAAGGCCACCCCTCTAAGGGTACTGATGAACAGTCGGGTTAGGATAGCATCATTCCCCATGAGAAATCCTGTTTAGGATAGGAAGTAGTAGATATTCTATGAGGGGGAGCCTTTATTATCAAACTAGACTAAACTCATCGGCTTGAACTTTGTTAGGTAGGCGACTATGTCCCATTTGACTGGATACGGTCGAACCACCCCTAGCTCATTCATGTTCCCCTGGAGCTTTAGGGCGCTGAGCTGACTTTGGAATTCATCAAGCCTCTTGTCCCGGGGAGTGCTATCAGTATGTGATGCTTTTCCTAAAGACTTAGATAAATAATCCAAATGCGATCTGCGAATATCTTCCTCTTCAGATGTGTTAGGGGGAGTAGGCTCATGTTCCCTATTCTCCGAGGATCTTCACCGATTCCATGAATTCCTCCACTTCTTCTTGTTCAAAAGTTGATCCATCATTCCCTTCAAGGAGTTCATGGTTGCTTGCTGCTCTTCGACTCTTCTGACAATGTCATCAAAGTCATTCGCCATGTGCACCTTTGCGTGCTTGGCATAAGCTGAGCTTGAGGTCTGAGACATTGCTGCCACTGAGCATGCTTTGTTCTTGTTGTCATAGATAGGTGACAATCGGGCATAATCAAAGGGGATGGCAACCCCTGTTTGAGTACGTATGAATTGGTAGACACCTTCACGCTTGACAAGGAGTCAGTTCAATCCCGGGGAAAATTCTAGATCCGATGAATCTAAATATTTAGCTTTCCCTTTCCCTGCTATGTTAATCATAGCAGCTAGGAGTTCCAAATCATCAGCGGCCTGTCCCCTCCGGCGATTGCATCTCCGGCAAGGAAGTTTTGACTCCAGAAGTTGCTGAGAAAGCCTTTCAAACACTGAAGGTTTTAATGCCTTGGCACACTGGAAATCAGCAAGTACTGCTCAGATGAGCCTCTCACAGTGGCACTGAGGATTTGCCTCGTGAATAGTACACTTGTGAGTTAGATGATTAATAAACACGAATATTCTCTATATTTTGACTATGTTTCACCTATGGATTCGTTGTTATTTAATGTATTTTCTTGCATTTTGACCATGTTAAGCTTTCTAGTTCTTATTTATTACTCTATTTACATATTATGTAGGAATTACTAGAGCTTAGCATAGATTCGGAGTCAAGAAGGAGTTAAGGAATGCATGGAAAGAGGCTACATGGTTCCATAGTGTTCGACAACACATGAGTGTTGAATACAGAAAAGCCCAGAAAGAGCAAAGCGAAATGGAATTAAACACGGCCTAGTCATGTTGATCTACAAAGCCATGTCACATATCGGTATTCATTTATCACGCGATCTGAAGCAAGATTTGAAGTTATCTATTAACACATCTTTCTCTAGACTTTAAAGAAAGACGTCCTGAGGTATCTGGGAGGCAGTAGAGGCTGGATTTATCTCTTTCTCTTTCTTCTTCTTCTCCCCATCTGTCTAAAATATCTTAGATTAAGATTTCTTTGATTTGGCAAGGTGCTAGTTGTGGAGATTTGTGGACAACATCTCGATTTTGACACTACGGTTTATTTTCTAATTTATTTTGTTTTCTAGTTTACAATTATGTGTGAGTAATCATTTTTTTCTAGGATTGAATTAGGTTAGACTACGGTTGTGAATCAATGAAGTGATTTTGTTGTTATCATTAATTATTTGATTTGCATTATTTAATTACTAGTATCTAATTGTCTAGGGTTAATTCAATTGGCCACTAATTTGACTCTTCTAGGATGTTGATTTGAACTGAAAGGTTAAATTGACGTCAAAAAATAGTAATTGTATGGGAATTAATTGATCACGAAAGTAGGTTAATTATTCTTAGGAACATGAGGGGTTAACATGAACTTAATGTGTTTAATTCAGTTCAACACCATGAAAATAGGTTGTTAGGCTGAATTAGGCATGACTTTTAGTCGTCGAAAAAGACTAATAGTTATCATAGGTTAGTCATTATTAATGCATTGAGAGGTTTGATAACGATTGATTAATTTGTTGATTCAAACCAAAGTTGAAACCGAAATTCAATCCTAGATTCTTTTAGTTGTGTGAATTCGCTTTGATACTAGTTAGCACGTTCATTAATTATAGTTAATAGCGCGTTCATTATTGATAGTTAAGAATCATACTTTTAGCATGATAGGTTTAGATAGTCACAAAACAGTGAAAATCGGTAATTGACAACGAAGTCCCTGAGGATACGACCTTGTATTGCTACAATGACATCCGTGCACTTGCGGATTTGAGTGAACAAGTTTTTGGTGCCGTTGTCGAGGACTTTGGCATTGTTAATATTAACTTTTTCATTGTTTAACTAGACTTTTTCTTTCATTTTTTTTATTTTTTATTTTTTTTATTTTTTACATTTGACTTGTTCCTTTGTTTTCTTGTGCAGACAGCTTTGTATGCCCAGATCCTTACGTCTTGGAGAACCAGTTGAGTGTGATCCAGAGATTGAAAGGACCTTACGTCATATTAGGAAGAGGCTACGAGAAACAAAGGATAATTTGAAAAGCAAAAAAGATGGGAGACCAAGATAATCCAGGCAATCAGGATCGATCTTTAAAGAAGTTTGCATCACCAACCACACATAACTCCCAATCTAGCATCGTGAAGCCTAATGTTGCTGCCAACAACTTCGAACACAAGCCTTCACTCCTCTCCATGGTTCGGCAAAACCACTTTGGGAGCACTCCAACTGAAGATCCAAACCTCCACATCTTAATCTTTTTGGAGTATTGTGACACCTTAAAGATGAATGGAGTGTCGGACTACGCGATCAAGCTAAGGTTGTTTCCCTTCTCACCAAGGGACAAAGCAAGGGCTTGGCTACAATCACTTCCACCAGGCTCCATCACCACTTGGGACCAACTCTCAGAAGCATTCCTTACTAAATACTTCCCTCCAAGCAAAATAGCCCAGTTGAGGAATCAGATAATGAACTTCACTCAGAAAGAAGAGGAGTCATTGTATGATGCTTGAGAGAGGTACAAGGATATTCTAAGGATGAGTCTACATCATGGGTTGGAGGATTGGCTCATAATCCACACTTTCTACAACGGTCTTCTCTACAACACAAAGATGACCGTGGATGCTGCAGCTAGTGGGGCATTGATGAACAAAAGCATGCGAGATGCAAAACAACTCATAGAGGATATGGCACAGAACCATTTCTAATGGTCAGGTGAGTGCTCTTTACCTAAAAAGAGCGGGAGGTATGATGTAAATGCATTAGACCATATTGCTTCTAAAGTAGATGCTTTATTTTAGAAATTTGATAAGATGATCATGAATTCAGTAGCTTCTAGCTTTACTAACTGTGAAATATGTGGTATGTCAGATTGAAAACTCCCTTTCCCCTGATGCACCATTATCTGAACATGTTAACTATATGAATAATTTTAATCAGAAAGGGGACCATTTTTCCAATCTGTACAACCCGGGTGGAGAAATCATCCTAATTTATCCTAAAAAATCCACCCCAAAACCCAAATCCTCACTCTAATTTTCGACCTCCAGGGTTTCAGGCCCTTAGACTCCCTTACCCTAGTTCCCAAAAGTCCAACTTGGAGATCTTGATGGAGAATTTTATGACATCCTAGAATAAGCAGAATGAATGATGCCATTAAGAACCTACCCTCTAAAGTTGATTCTTTAGACACCCACAACAAAATGCTAGAGAATCAGATCACTTAATTAACCTAGCAATTTAGCTTTTCTTCTAGATCTTCAAGGATGTTTCCTAGACAACCTTAAACCAACCCCAAGGGATCTGTCAATACCATCACACTTAGGAATGGAAAAGAGTTAAGAGGAACCAATAATGAGGAGTGATCATGGGGATGTGGTTGATGAGAGTGAGAAGTTAGTGACAAGTGAGAAAGAGCATGTTGGTGAGAAAGGGGAGAAGGTTGAGAGATATGTTACGCCTACACTTTACAAGCCTCCACTACCCTTCCCTCAAAGGCAAGTTAAAGCTAAGTTGGAAAGTAGTTTGGGAAATTCATAGAAATATTAAAAAAATTGCATATTAACATCCTATTTGTTGAAGCCATTTCCCAAATGCCCTCCTATGCCAAATTCTTAAAAGAGATTCTGTCAAATAAGAGACAATTAGAGGAGTATGAAACAGTAGTCTTAACTCAGGAGTGTAGTGACATAATTCAAAATAAGTTACCACTTAAGCTTAAAGATCTTGGCTCGTTTTCTATTCCTTGTACAATTGGTGATATATCAATTAATCATGCTCTATGTGATCTTGGTGTTAGTGTCAATCTTTTGCCATTGTCTATATGTAACAAGGTGCAAATGGGAGACTTGAAGCCTACCACTATCTCCCTCCTATTAGTAGATCGATCAGTTAAACGTCCAGTAGGTATATTAGAAGATGTACCTATCCCGGTTGGTAAATTCTATATTCCAGTTAATTTTGTTATTCTTGAAATTAAGGAGGATTCTCAAATCCCCATTATATTGCGAATATCTTTCCTTGCTATCGTTGGCACAGTGATTGATGTGAAAAATGGAAAGCTCTCTCTCAATATAGGGGGTAAAAAGGTGAATTTTGACTTGTTTTCAGCTATGAAATTTCTACTAATTAATGATAATTGTTGTAGGATTGATACGGTTGACATGGTGGTTAGAGAAGACTTTACTAGATATATCTCAAGTGATCCACATGAGAAATGCTTAGTAGAGAATGGGGCACCGGTTGCTGATGATCAGGAAATAACTTCCTATGTTACAATGCTTGATGAAAGCCCCACCTACACCAAAACCACCTACAGCAAAGAAGGAAATAACTTCCTATGTTACAATGCTTGA